AACAGTTACTTTTCTTAGTGGGTCGATAAGATGTGCACGTTCATGGCCACATTTAATAACTTCCTTTATTAATACATAAATTATATATAAAAAAATGAGTAGGGAGTGAATGACAAAATTGCCATCAACATAATAAGGAAAATATTTAAAGTTAAAGGGCAAAATAGGGAGATAAAGTCTCTCCTTATAACCCCTTTTATATATACTATAGATATATAATTAAATCAATGAGAAATCGGAGTAAAAAACTCCATTTGGTCAATGCATAATACCGTTTCGTAGCTTCTATTATACGCGAACTAAAATTGTTGAAGGGTCTAATTCTGTATTCGGGAGTTTTTGTAGTTGGAAGTTCATCGTCTAAGACAATCTCTATTTTTTTTTTTTTTTTGCAGTAGTTAGTATGAACACTGCATTACACATAATATATAATCCAGTTTTTCACAAACGAACAAAATACGTCAAAGTTAAATATCACTCTATTTGGGATATCATCAAATAAGGTCTAATTGCACTATCTGATGTTTCAACATCGGTACAATTGGCAAATATCTTTACTAAGATCTTTGGAAAGAAGCAATTCAATCTACTAATTGATAAGTTGGACGTTTACGATTTGCATGCTCATTTGAAGGAGGTGATACGATGCGATATCAAGAATTGAGATTTTTCATTGGTTATGCTTCGTACACTTGGTTTTAGATGATATTGAACATATTTTGTATATATGTATCAATGAAAAATGGAAGGAAAAACTCCATTTTGTTTATTAGAGAAAAAATATTGGGAATTGGTGTTAGAGGAAAATACTTGGGTGGTAAATACCAGATTTCCTATATTGGAGGCGGCGCAATATGAATGATGATTATAGACTATGCACGAGAGGAACTACATTATTATTTAGACTTTTTCTTAATTAAAAGTCAATAATTAAATAGGTGGGGAGCGGTATTCGAAATGTCAATGACGATAGAAATATAGATGACCTAATTTTACGGACATATCGATGTCGATGAATATTTCGAAAAAAAATAATGGAAATTGTGGAAATTAATGAGTGTTTTTTTAATTAACAAATAAAACTTGAATGGTAGATTAATTAGTTTATAATTAATCACCTTTAACCATTAAATGTAAGAATAAAACTTGAATATCACCCCTAAATGTAAGAATATGACAATTGATGAAAATAAGTTAAGTCTAAACTTTCAAAGTAATTTCTAGGCAGGAGTGTTTCATTAGTGTCTGCTGAAATACCTAACATAGAGACAATACTATCATTAGTGAAAGTTAATTATGGTCAATTTATTGAAGTTAGAAAAAAGTGAATATATTTAACCAACTTATTTTTCATATGGATTGTCAGGTAGAGGTGTTCCATTACTGTAAGCTTAAAACTTCAACCTAGACAGGACTATGTTTGGAAAATATAGTATAGTCAATTTATTCAAAATTCAAAATATTGTAGCATATAAGTTATACTAATATAATTCATTAGTATAACTTATAATTTATAATTAGAATGAAAAATTACCTGTAACATGAAGAGGGTGAGAAAATGTCTTATCTCATCGATTCTGAATTATTTTAGTGGCTCGACTTCTAAGTTTTATTTGATTGATTCTAAGTTTCAGATTTTCAATCAAAATATAGATAATCGGCATGGTTGGAACAACTTCGCTATCCACAATTCGAATAACCATGTACATAGGCTCGAAAATGTCAACAAGTACCTGCACTTGATCCCAAAACGAGTTGCTCAATACACATATTCAATAGCTTTATTGATAGGTGTCCAGCTCAACTTATCACTAAGCCATGCATCATCAGTGAATAATCGTTTCAATCCTGCCTTCTTTTTCAGCATACTATTTAAGGCAAGATAATTTGTAGCAAACTAGTGCTACCAGGTCGGATTATATAAGTCCACACAATTCTTGCCCATTTTGGCAAGCAACCAACCATGATTATATATGTAATTGGTCACCCCGTGCATATTTGATTATTCCATCCATTGATTCTCGCTTGCCAATATCCTTAAAACATCAAATCAACACAATGGGCTGTACTATGTGTCCAATAAATGTTAAAAACTTTTTCATAATCGATTCCCTAGCTTTATTGAATGCAGACCCATTGTATGTGACTATCTGGACTACTTTTTTCGCTCTCTACCTCGTGTATGACGCTCTTGAGGAGATTATAAATGTACTTATGGTATTTAACTTGATTATAAGCATCAATTGACCTTAAGTAAACAATGGTACCTTTACAGTATACCATGAAATTGATGATGGATAATTTCGTTGGTCCAATTCATCTATCACATATGATAGTGCATCTTTAAGTTTCTCACTTTGATTTCTGTGCATTGACATATTCCTCCATCTCTTCAAACTCACGATTTAAATACTTTGTGTGAATTTCATATGGTGTCGGTACATCAATCCTCATACCTACAAAATATTAAAATATTTTAGTATCTATGCAAGTATAATTATATTTAAAACAATTCCACTCAAAATAATTTAATAAGCATACTTACCAGCTTGTTGTGCTCCGACTATCATATTCTTGAAATGATGCGATTCAGCTTTGTTAGCTGGGATATTGTCAAAAATAAAGAATCGTGAGATAAGACGACTCATTGTATCCTTTACTCTCCCTTCGTGAACATATATTTTATGTTCTTCTATTTGAACCTTGTGACTTGTAGTACGAAGGCTCACACATATTACTAGACTTTTTAATTGACTTGAGCTTTGACCATGCTCAAATCCACTCCTACAAAACTTTTCCTCCATTTGTACAGTTTTTCTTGAAGCACGCATGACTTCACGAATCTACTTGGTACATTTCAACATCTGACCCAGAATCGTCATAACTTTTTTACTTTTCAAGCTACCTTGTAGCTCATCTTATATTTGTTTCAACTTTTTTGTTTTTTTTCATTTTTTTTGTTTCCTTTACCTTAAACCCCTCTATCATTTGTTGTCTCACTTCAGGTGGGACATTGGGGCACGGTCTAGTATTCTTTTTCGGATCCTTACCAGACAAGTGGTGCTTGAATCTAGTGATCTCACCACTTTTAATAACTATATTACAAAAGTTACATATGGTGCCACTTTAGTTTCCCTCAATTGGACGACAATAAGCCCAAACTGAATCTACATGTCTGCCTTCCATCTATGATTGAAACAAAAAGAATAACAAAAATTAACGATAAATAATTTTAATATTAAACTATGTGTAATACAATAAATACATTTAAGATGATGAATGATAATCAGCATTTTTTACTTTAATTTTTTTTTTTAAAAAAGATAAGATAGGTTAGCAACCTTGAATATAGAGATAGATAACAAACCTTGAGCATAGAGAATTTGAGATTAAGGTGTGAACAAAGTGAATGAGAGAAAGATTTTAGAGAGTATTGAAAATTTAAAATTGAGTGAGTTGTGAAGAAGAATTGAAAGTAGGGGTATTTATAGTTGGTAAAAATAAAAAAATAATTCAAATATAATAAAAAGGTAAAAAAAATAAAAAAATAAATAATTTGAGTGAATTAGAAATATGTTTGGAAATTGTGTAAATTTGATTGGAAAGTTGGAATGATGATAAATTTGAAAATGTGTTTGAAAAATATGTAAATTCAAATTTGAAAAAAAAGTTTGTAAAAAGTACAAACAAAAATAAAAAATAAAAAAATAATAATTTGAGTGAATTAGAAATGTATTTGAAAATTGTGTAAATTTGATTGTAAAGTTAGATTGATAATTGATTTGAAAATGTGTTAAAAAAATGTGTAAATTCAAATTTGAAAAGAAAAGTAGGTAAAAAGTAAAACATAATAATAATAATAATAATAATAATAATAATAATAATAATAATTTGAGTGAATTAGAAATGTATTTGGAAATTGTGTCAATTTGGTTGGAAAATTGGATTGATGATTGATTTGGAAATGTGTTTGAAAATTGTGTAAATTCAAATTTGAAAAGAAACGTAGTTAAAAAGTAAAAATAATTTGAGTGAATTAGAGATGTGTTTAGAAATTGTGTAAATTTGATTGGAAAGTTGGATTGATAATTGATTTGAAAATGTGATTGAAAAATGTGTCAATTCAAATTTGAAAAGAAAAGTAGTAAAAGAGTAAAAATAATTTGAATGAATTATAAATGCGTTTGGAAATTGTATAAATTTGATTAGAAAGTCAGATTGATGATTGGTTTGAAAATGTGTTTGAAAAATGTGTAAATTAAAATTTGAAAAGAAAAGTAGGTAAAAAGTAAAAGAGTAAAAACTAATAATAATAATTTGAGTGAATTAGAAATATGTTTGGAAATTGTGTAAATTTGATTGGAAAATTGGATTGGTGATTGATTTGAGAATTTGTTTGAAAAACATGTAAATTCAAATTTGAAAAGAAAAGTAATAAAAGAGTAAAAATAATTTTAGTGAATTAGAAATGTGTTCGGAAATTGTGTAAATTTGATTGGAAAGTTTAATTGATTATTGATTTGAAAAATGTGTAAATTCAAATTTGAAAAGAAAAGTAGGTAAAAAGTAAAAAATAAATAAATAATAAAATAATTTGAGTGATTATAAATGTGTTTGAAAATTGTGTAAATTTGATTGGAAAGTTGGATTGATAATTGATTTGAAAATGTGTAAATTCCAATTTGAAAAGAGAATTAGGTAAAAAGTAAAAAGGTATGAGTTCAATTAGATATTAGAAATGTGTCTGGAAAACAAATTTGTAATTATCATATAATAAATGAATTCCTATCATGAAATACATTAAAGAAATAGTCAAAAGTTTACAATTAAAGTTTACTTTACTTATTCAAATAATTTTCATCAATCTTCATTAAAGAAAAAAATATTTTTTTGGATATTTCCATGTCGACATTTTCACAAGTAAAATAGTCATATTCAGTTATATGTTAATTAAGTTACAATCCAAGTTTTAGTTGCTAATTCAAAAAATTTCAATCAATTTCCATTATTTTTCCCGAAATATCCGTCGACATTGACATATCCGTAAAATCGGGACCTCAATATTGACATTTCGAACACTGATATAGTCCATTTTTTCTCTAATAAATATATCTTAAACCTTTGTATAACTGAATGTTTTATTGTTAAATTCTATTTCTCTTTTTATTTATTTATCTTTTTATAACAAATATATTTTGAATTTTTAGGGTCTAAATTTTGTTTTCACTGTAATTTTTGTTTCCCTTTCTAATTTTTTTTCTTTCTTTAATAGACTTTTACTATCAACCTTACTCTCTCCTATAACTTTTTATTTTTGAGTTTAACTTTTCTCTTGGTACTTTGTTTTTCTAACATTTGTATAACTCTTTCAAATTTCTCTTTTAAAAGGTTTTTTTTTTCTCTCTAAACTTTTATTTTCACAATCTTTACGTTAGAGATGGTAAAAATTCTCGTAGGTCGAGTTCCCACTTTAATAACAGAGAATGAATTTCTCACCATGTCCCGTCTCCCATTCTATTTTTTAATAATTAATATATATTTTATTAATTATTTTACTAAATTATTAATAATTATGAATCTAATTATTTATACTAGTAAATAATAATTTATTAATAAAATTATATATCTCTATTAGTTTTTATTTTTTAAATTCTAAAAATAATTAAAATTAACTATTAAACTAGATCCTCCCATCCAAATGTGGATTCTTGAACTTGTATGAGAATTAAAAATTTAGTGGGAGAGGGCATCCCTCTCTTACCCCACGTCATTTTCATATCCATATTTTATATAGATTTTTCTATATCTAACATATATTTTCAATTTTATAAGTTTTTTAAAATAGAAAACAAAAAATTGATTATAAACATATTTTGGTTTTTAGTTTTTGAAAAAATAAAAAATAAAAACAGTTATCAATTATTTTTGTTTTTTAAAAACAAAAAGCATAAAACATAAAAAAGGAAAACAAAAACATAAATTGTTATCAAACGGTCTTAAACTAAACTTTTAAAAGTGTTTAATAAATTTTGTTGGCATTGTTCGGTAACTAATATATTTCTTTACTTTGCTGTCAATTCTTAGGAAACTAAAAAAAGTTAGTTTAAAAAATTTGTTTCTGCATTTTTCAATTTAGTCAATAATTCAAACGTGTTTCTAATCGAGGTGAAAATATGCTAAAGAAGTTGTAAGGGAGTGAACATAATTTCATAAAATATTATTTTATTAGTTGTGCTTGGTAATAAATATTGAAAGAATTAAATGCATCATTATAATTTTAATTTTTTTTATATTGAAAGCCACATTTAATGTAAAAGTATTGATTTTTAAGTTAAATTGTGGGTGAACAGAAAAATAGTCATCGAAAACATTTATGTTTATAATGTAGAAGAAAAAACATTTTATGTTTGTTGTTTTCGATAAAAAAATAGAAAAAGAAAAAAGAAAAAAACAACTATTACCAAAAACAATGTTGTTTTATTTGTTTTAAAAAAAAACAACAAATGGGGGATAGGAAACAAGAAGAAAAAAATCAAAACACTGCCAAAAGAATTTTAAAAGACTATGTTAGGTATTTAACGACTTACGATTGTCCTATCTAAATATGAACCATAGTCAACAAGTATATAGATACCAATTACTGTTAAGCTATAGTCACTCTGGCACAATAAACTAACATTTAAGATAAACTATTTGAAGATTAAATTGATTGACTATATTGTAATCCACTTACTGACACGTCATGGTTCGTCCGTTAGAACTTACCCAACATAAAATAGATTATTATAGAAAAAATGGAGTTATTAAATACATTATCGTACTAACAACTAACCAAAATTATTTTTTTAAAAAAAACACCACCTTAAAACCTATACATAATTATTATTGAACAATTTACTAATAATTTTCTTAGAATATAACATTACAAAACATAGTGTCGAACCTTCGACCTAGAAAAAAAATAAAATTCTAATGCATTAACCATTGAACATTTAGATTAGCACATTTACTGTTAGTTTTTGTTTTCAATAAAAGCATTGCATCAGGAATAATGATTTCAACCTAGTAGAGACACCTTGCTCAAATGGACACATTTAAAGCAAATGCTTTGTTTTGAAGGGGAAAAATGCAGGCTGCATTGGAAAATTTTAATGCATACAAGATAAAATTAAGACAAGACCCAACAATTTATATCTAATCCAAAATAAAAAAATAATAATAAAAAGAAAAAAAGCAACTTCCCAATTCAAACAACCAAAACATAGAGCACAATGGAATATTAGCAAACAGTGTAATTTCAGGTTGAGGACTGCAGCAAGTCCAGGGAATTCCACTCCACAAATTTTAATGGATAAGACTTTGCTCCCAATAAGGAGCACCCTAGATAAATACAAAAATAAAAATTTCGTTTAAAAAAAGGATGAGTTGTCAAAAATTTACTAGGGGGAGTCCAGATTTATCCAATTTGAAGTCGATGAAAAAATGCATAGACCAGTCTAACTTCAACCATTTAGATATAACCCAGAAAACATCATTACTTCTTTCCCCTATCACAGCTTCTAAATAAATGGTCGACCTTGACAAGACGAATCCAAGCTAACAAGGTTACAAAAGGTACAAATGGGGTGGCATAACCCGAATTCTACTTCAATTCTTTAAATGAATCCAACTCATGGATTGATGTTTTAAGGAGTATGAATATGCATGTAGGGGAACATTCTTAAGGTAGTTGACAGCAAGTGCATCTGAAATTATATAGTGATCCCTCCAAATACAGGGAAAAGTTACAAGAGACTCACAGTTCATATAACCAATTTCCTCTGCCGATTCTTCTACTCATTTTTTCTCCGAGGAAGTTGAGTTCTGAGTGAACTTTTTCCATTTCTGCTTGTTCTTCTCAATTTTATTCACATTCTGGGAGTATTCCGAGAGTCCTTGCCTCAGCGCGCCAAGATTTACTCCGTTGTCAACTAGAATACTAGTTACTCCCATTTTTGAAACCTGTAGTCACCAATTACCATCATAAATCTTTGTTAAGATGGCAATAAAGAGAAAAGACATCCTTAAAAAAGGATTTATGCCAATACAATCTTCAAAAAGCACCGTCTTAGATACATGCAACAAACATAGAAAATAAGCTGTGGTAAAAATGAGTCTTACAGTTTCAATGTTCCGATCCTCGTCATCAAAGAAGAGCATACATTTGAATGGTACATTTGTCCTCGAATGAATTCTCTGAAAATGATCTGTTTTGTGCGTCCAACTGGAAAAAATCTCCTGGTAAAGATGGTTGAGCATGAAAAACAGGATGGAATTAATACGAAGACATCCCACTATAAGCCGATTATTTAAGAAAAAAATGGAAGGAAGTGCACCCAAGACTATGTTCCTTGTATAGGAAGGTTGTTGAATAAACCATGTACAACTTAGTGCTAGTAGGAGAGAAATTGCATTTCCTCCTTACTAATTTATTCTTTTAGCTACAATATATCAAAGTTCATTCCTCCTCGCATGATCATATTGCTGGAAAAACATCATTTTTCGTCATTCAACGAGGAACCAGAAGAAATATACAACAATTTCAAAGCTGGAAACTGAACAAGAAATACCTGAGCTACGAACATGGACTTGATGCCCAATTTGTCAATAAACGTCTTGGCAATATCAGATGTTGGTGATCTAGAAGCAATTGCAAGGTCAATTCCCTTGTCTTTAAGTGCATATAATATGCCTGTGGCATGAGGATACAGAGATGGCATATCACGTTTGGAGCGGCATTCACTGTAAAAAGAACACGAAGAGGGTCAACTTCGATATACGTCTTAACAATTACAGAAACAACCATGTAAAGCAAGTCTATACGGTTGATAACTAATCCTCAACCAACCCCGATAGGTGACTTGATGGTAAGAACTTATTTGGGTTCAAGCCTAAGTTAACAAGTTAATATATATATATATATATATTTTTTTTTTTTTTTATATGATAACGGGGACTCGGAGCTTTGCTCTCCTATGGCCTATACCCAGGAGCACCCGCGCCCCAAGGCCCAGACCCGGAGAGACAAGGATTTTTGGCATTAAGCTCACCAAAAAGGTTCGAACTTCAGCCTCTAAGCCAGTATGATGAAGAGGTCCAAAGCCCTTGCCAACTGAGCTGCTACTTAGAGACAAGGACTTAATAATTTATAACCCTTTTTGTGTCTCAAAGCGGGCTTTAGGTTGGGCAAAACCTCCTTCAGGATTAGGGCTGTAGAGTTGACACTTCTTAATAACTACAGATTAAGAAACGATAATCGCAGTAGAGATTATGGCGCGAATGCCTACACGAACGCCATAAGGCTGCCGTTGACAAAGAAGAAAAAGAAAAGATTGATCTTAGTATCCATACACGGCTCCATTTTAATTCCAATTCGCTCAAGTCCCACGAACATAAGTTAATAAGATAGGAAAATAACCTAATTAACAATCTCGATGGAGAATAACACGAAACGTAGTGAATGAATTTAATTTGTAACATGGTGTAGTCCTGTTTCATTTCTTCGAACAATCTTCTCGTTCGAGTCAACAAATTAATTATAGGGCGAACAGGATGAAAAACAACTAAAACAAAGGTCAAAATAGACCACAGTAACCGAATTATTTCGCAAATTCCCTTACTGCGAATTCGAAGGGGAAGTATAACAGAACTTCATCGGCTCGAAAATCAAACGGATTAACCAGTTCTAGGAAAGAATCTATGGACATGCGTTTTTCTGAGTCAACAGACAGGAAGTGAATTTGAAGAGAATGATAAATTACCAATAGAATGGCCAGAGAGTGTAATCGAGGTCGAAGACCACCAATTTTGGAAGAACTTGGAACATTCCTATAATCTGCAGAGCCTCCGCCTTGACATTCTCGTCGGCCATCTCTGTTACCTCGCTCGTCACCACTCCGACGATGCGGAGTGCTTTCGATTCACGTTTTCTCGAGCGATTGATTGGTCGATGGCGTTCGTTCAACGGTTGAAGTTGGGTTTTGGTTTACAAGATTTTAGACGAATGTCCTATTTTTTTTTTTCCTTCTTTTTTGAAAACGAATGTCCTATTTGGAAATTGGAAGTATCCTCGAAATTGTTCCCCATCTCAATGGAAATGAGACTAAATATAAATGTTTCATGTTTGAATAATATTTTATTCGTGCTAAAAAAATATATTATTCCTTTTCAAAAAAAAAATATATAATATAATAGTTTCATGGGAGATGATATTTCCAACTGGCAAATTTTTATTTGGACATAGGTATTGAACTATATATTTTTTTTAGTGCAATAAGATCGAACTCACAGTCTCTTTGTTGAAGGTATATGTCAATTATCGGTGAACTATGCTCACTTGATAGTTGTTGATGCAGAAATGCACCAATCTTCAAGAATAAAAGGAATCGACGAGACCTACAAAACAGAATAGCATTAAAGACTAGTGTGGCTCTTGTCACACAAGCTCCGATGCTTAAATCAAAATCGGAGTAGTTGAGTATAAAATGTAGAGTGTTGTGAGCATATCCTAGTATTTGGCTTACCCTTGTATTTATAAAGGTCTAGTCAATACCTTTCAGGTGAACCTCAATCCTCCTAGGATTTACATTTGTCGAATCTTTATGCCCTCAGGAGATCACATAGTGGCCCTTACGCTCTACTATTCGGGACCGATACCAAGTCGACTCGGATTGAGCTTGCACGGGGGGTCAGGATTCGCTGGAGAGGTTCTCGGCCATTGGGCTGAGAACTCTTCGACGTCGAGCACTTCTCGGCGCCGACCCCAGGTCGGCCACGGTCGACCCGGGTCGCGAGGCCCTAACCCACTTACCTCTTCAAATCTGCTCCTTCTTCGACTTCCTCTCCTCTTTTCGGTTTGCGTAATCTGATCTTTATTTTCTTCCTATAACAATAGTTTTAAAATTGAGTATTTTGTTTCTTCTATTTTCACTTTAATATCATATGGTTTTTAAAATGTAACTAAGAAGTTGTATTAGTTGACTTTCGTGGTGTATCTTCATCTTCGGAATGGTTTCCTAAATGGAAATGAGACAAAATATAAATGTTAAATAATATTTTATTTGTATCTAGAAAAAGAATTATCACATGTCTTTAACCAAAAGATAATGAGTTTAATTCTCCATTTCAGTTATTGTACTTGTATATATATATTAGTGTGCTAGCACGTACGTTGCACGAAGTATTTTTAACTTAATTAATTTTATAAAAATAACATCAATCACAGTAAAAAAACAATAATAAACAAAGAAAAAAATTAGAATGTGTATCTATGCAAACTTCATAAATAAATAAACATATATATACATTGTTTTCTATGAAGGATTTGGCTCATTGTTTTGTCTGTTTTTAATTTCAAGTTTTTTTCTGAATTTTAAAGTCATCACTTAGTTTCCATATTAAGGCTCAATTCAACTAAATTCAAAATGTCTGCCGATTTCACCATGTCCCCTCTTTTAAAATTAGTATCTTATTATTGCAAGATAAACATATATAGCTTCTAAATCAAATTGTAACATCTAAAACCTATAATTCATAATATAGATTGACTCGTGTATTATATTCCCTTGCATACACCATCGTAAGACTCATATTGTGAGTAGAGCGATTGGGGAAGAACTATTTTTCATAATAAGAGAATAAAATTGTAACAAAAAATAAAATAAAATCTCAACTATACACTCATCTTTTAGGTACATCAAACTTAGTAAAATCCTAAAACGGTAACGTCACAAGTTTGGTATTCAAGGTATATAGATTTGGCACATGCATCATTTGCAATTTGATGAATATGCTACAAACATCTTGAGATGTTTTCGAGATTGAATAATATTTGAGAGATGTTTTGAGAAAACTAAAAAAAGAAGTACTGAAAAGTGTTGTAGAAAAAATGGTGGAATAAAACTATTTTTAAAGTAGTAGAGAATTAAAAGTTACAAAAACTTTTGAAATTTTTAAACTCTTCAAATTCCGGTGTGAATTACCATTAAATAAAATTAATTTATGTTGTAGGAAAATTTTTTGCATTCTAACCTTTTAAATTCTATATATTTATTAGTATTGATAATTAAAGGAAAAAATTAATTTTACGTTGTTGGAAAAATTGCCTTTTAAATCTATAAATGTATTAGTATTAATAATTAATAACTAATAATAAAAGTTACCAGTATTAATAATTGATAACTAATAATAAAAGTTACCAAGGTTTTGAAATTCTTAAACTAATCAAATTATAGTATGAATTACAATTAAAGAAAAAATCATTTTTATGTCGTAGGAAAACTTTTTGCATTCTAACATTTTAAATTCTATAAATTTATTAGTATTAATAATTATTAATTAATTATAATAATGTATTAATGACCTCGTAAATTTAGTAAGTGACAAAAGTGTGAAAAAAAAATGTTTTTCCTACATTCTCTCATTTCTTCCATGTGAATTCCAACTTACTACTTTTTCTTGTGTCAGTACAACATGTGAGGTGGATGATCGAACTGACAACCTATTGGTTTTAAATATTTCAAGAGGTCTATTTTAATCATTATCTATAATCTATACTATATATAAATGGGGCTATAGAATAGAATCTTTGCCTTCCATTTTTTCCCTACACTTTTTAATAAATATCTATTTTACCCTTGAAACTTAGGTAGGATGCAACTGTTGGGTTGATGTATCTGTTGAGAGAAGTGATGTGTTCATTCACATATGGGTGCGATTGAGATTGATAATTATTTATATATAATATAATAGACCGATGTATTTTTTTAGATAGATAAGTTAATCCAATAGGTGTGATTGATCAAATGATATATCCATTCTCAAATAGGTGTGATTACAAATATCTATATAACATGAAAGAAAACACCATACGTAAAATTGTGTATTTTTTATCTCTCAAAATGTTTATGAAAATTAAAAATTTTCGTTATTTGTGAGAGAAACACTAAAGATCCAATAATCCATAAATTTATTTGATTTGATGATGAGGTAGAATATAAAATTACATTTTTATATTAATATATTAATGATTTATTTTAGTTTATTAATGTCCGTATTCTCCATAATATAGACTCTTGATTGTTGTTGTATATGTCTTAACTACTTTTAAATTTCTTATTTCATGTTTATTTTCATGTTTATGTCTTTATTAACTAACTTGAGTACTTAACCATGAATATTTATTACTTGATTTGTTAAATTAATTATTTACCTATTAGATTATTGTATTAGTTTTCATATTATAAGGGCTTTTGTTTTCCTACTTTGTCATTTAAATTGTCAAAAATTTATTGACAAGAGAAAATTATTCAGGTAAATATATTCGTTGAGAGAAGTTAATCAATTGTGGCTATATAAAGAAGAGTGTTATCATCCACATATGGTGTGATCGAGACTACAATATGAAATATCAAGAGATGTATCTGTGGAGGAGAATGTATGTTTCTTATTTTGCCTTGTAAGTTTTCGTAAATTCATATTTTAGTTTTTTAAACATCATTTTTAATATATTTTTAAAACAAACATTTAATTCCACGTGCATTGCACGTGATTATTACTAGTATATTAAAAAGACACAATCTCTAACAAACATTTTAGGACTATTATACCTTTTAATTTTTGTTTAATTACAAACCAATAACTAAAATTATAAAATAAAATAAATTTTAATTTTAATTTTTTTAAAAGGGGCCTTGTTTAAGAATGAGAGAAGTTTGCTAACCACCGGACTTAATAGAGGTCAGGCTAACTATTATAAATATATAGTAAATTAATTGATTAACAATTAATTATCAATAATACTAAATATATGGAATATAAAAGATTTGAATATTAAATATATGCAATATAAAAAGTTGGAATGCAAAAAATTTTTCCTATAAATTCCTTTAATTACGATTCATTTATAAAGTTTGGTAACTTTTAATCATCTATTATCTATATAAATTAAGTTTTATTCCACCATTTTGTGCACACATGTAGACTTCCATTCATTATTCTCAGTGCTCTAAAAAAATATTTCAATCTTGAAACACATTCAAGACGGGTGACGTATTCAAGTTGAAAGGAAAGCACGTGTTGGATCTATATCTTGAATCCTAAGCTGTGTATCATTACAATTCCACATTACGATGAAGTATTTTTTGTTGGAGCCATGACTTTTTGTCTCTGCAATGGTGATTTTAGAGTACAATGATGAAGTTCAAAGTATCATGGACTCTTATAGACATATTGTCAAGAAAATTGGTCACCTAATGATGGGCGAGCTAGCGACCGAAGCCCATGGTCATTCACGTTAGAAATCTCAATTTTGATATATAGTTACAATAATTTCCTTTGTTTTGTTGATCACAGTGCCAATATTTTTCTTTTGTTTTGGCGGTATTTGATTGATTTTGTACGACGCAAATGATATAAATTTCTACCTCATTGAATAATAATATTAGTCAATCAATTATCAAGTGAGCAATTTTATTTTAAGGAAGTTCATAGCTAGGGTATTATATGTTTTTTTTGTTACTTTGGTTTTTTTTTTCTTTTATAATTAATGTATTTTTTATTTAAGATGTTCGGTGAAAAATAATAATTTATTGATTATAATCGCAAGTTTATCTTATTATTTTTTTAAAAAATCATGTCCTTACAAAACTTTTAATTAATTATAAATAGTAAAATTAACTAATGGATCGATTATCAATAATAATAATCTTTAAAAGTCTTACCATTATACTAATTGTAAAAATTAAAATATATTTAACAAACTTATGATATTTTTATAAATTTGAATCACATACTAATATAGTTAAATAAATTATTTTATTTTTCCTTTGCAAAAATAAATAAATTATTTTATAATAAATAAAATTAAAATTTTTATTACGTGCATTGTACGTGATATTAAACTAGTAGTTTTAAAATAGACTATTTTGATTCTTTTATTTCCACTCTCATCTCATATATATATATTTGAAATGTAATTATAAATTTATATTAAATAATTTACGTTAGATTATAAAATTTGTGTTAAACTTTTGTAAATATCAATCAAAT